TAAGAGTGAGTATGCATACTAGTAGTGAAACCAGAGTGGAGAAGTTACTTAAATCTCTAATGTTTTGTATTTCCTTATAAAGCTTATCGATGATGACTCTTAGAAAGTGTTATAACTAAATGTACCGCGCATAACCAAACATCATATTATATTATAAAGCACGGCGATTTCGGGTTACAAATTCGCCCATTACAGTGTTATTTATTTAGTAAATTCAGCAACGCTATAAAATATGTGAAATAGATTCATGTCAACGTAAAGAACTAAATGAATATATTATATGTTGTTAAGGAATATAAGTTCTTTTAAACTAATGAGATATGATGTTCTATAACTTTCTACATAAAAGTTCATCTAAATGCTTAGCTGACTAAAAAGCTTGCCATAATTAACCCAAACTTTTGCGTACATTTTTTGTTTTAAACCCACCTATGTATCCAAATAAGTGTTTGTCCTAAAATAATGTGCATTTCTTTGGAAGTTAAGAGGACAAAACTAAATTTTCAGCCATATATATATATATCAACTCTGACAACTGACTTGTCATACAGAGATGTTGCAGTGACATGTGACTATGACATTTTAGGGTTACGTTGTTTTCTGGATAATCGATAAATTACCGTTTGTAAAACAATACTACCCTGGAAGATATCATTAAATACCAGAATAATTATGTTTAAACAGAGCTGAAAAACATATTATTAGTATTTAGACTAAGAGATATTAAGGCGACGACGCGCTAATAAATCTACCTTCCAGCCAAACACTAATCATAAAAATACGTCGTTAAACACAACGATACTTTAACATGCTATTTCCTATTAAATAACGAAAATGAGATTGGAAAAAGTCGACTACTGATGTTAGCAACATATTTTATGTATATATCTTTTTTTAAAAACTTCGGAAAATTTATTTTATGGAATGCGCTAATGTAATACGTTATTTTTGAATTGTTGTTTCAAACATAAAAATACTGAATGATTCGAGAAGAATAAAGGTTACTTCAGCTGTAAATTATTTTGAATAGTTGTTATTAAAACTCTTAATAAACAGAATAAGGATTAATGAAGCTGAATTGTTGATAATGACAAATAAATTACAAGCACAGGTGGCTTCATACATATTTTTTTCATTAGTTCAGAAGCGCTTATTGTGAAATTAGAAATTTATGGAAGGCTACTTATAGGCACTGATTACTAGTGGTCTTATTTTCTAGTCAGATTTCATTTTTAAACTTTTAATTGATTGAATTATGTTTCTATTAATCTTATATTTGAAACAGATAGCTGAATCCGCCTGTATCTCTTCTACTCAACGTATTTATACAAGCAACGTAAATGGACTTAGAAATTTCACAAATCGATGCAAACAATGCCTAGATTATAACACGAACAACATTTTGTAAAGAAAGCATCATTTATGTTCTTGAAATTATTATCAGTTATTATTATTTTGCCGTTTTACAATTTAGTGTTCAACCAGAAACTGTACGTAACTTACTTAAGTAATTAATTTTTATTAAGCTATGTTGACTTTATTTTTTGATGTATGCAACGTTTTCGTATAATGATGAGTAAAAGGATTTGATTCGTTAGACTCAGTAAAACAATTGACCAATTATTTTCTACTGCAAACCCCTTCTAACTCAAAGATGTCTTTAGAATTTGTGTAGAAAACAGCTACATCAATTGATGCAAAATTTAACTTTGGACTGATTATCATTATAGATTGATATTCAAATGTTTCATTATTTATAATGTACCTCCAATGAAAATTTTACGGTGCTGGTCGAATAACATAAACAATGTAACGAGCAGAACATCTGGTTTAATAAACCGTTACCCGAAATGAATTAAAAGCAGTTTACAACAATTATAAAAACAAATCACCAATCCACCTCACTTACAAATTAGTAAATCCCAGAACTGTTATATTGTATTCACAATACACTTGCGCAATTCAGAAATCAGGACCCAATTATTTGGAAGATATATGTCCAAAACTGTTTTAAAATAATCTAAGTGAATGAGGAGTCTTGGTCTAGTTCATCAGGCTAAACGTTAGGATTATTTAAGCTTCAATTGCTCAAATTATCTCAAATAACATGTGTTAATTTTGTCTGAAAATTCCTTTTATTAAGAAAAATCCAACAATGGACTGCCAAAATTAGAGCATATTTAATTATACAGTTCAAGGTGCTCGATTATTCTTATTCACTGATTGAAGTATGCTTGATAAAAAGTAGTCTATAATATTCTTTTTAGACAGACAGATTTATGAAGAGAAATTAACTTGCAGGACAAAACCACCAAAATATCCTGCTACCACTTGAAAATTTTACATTAGTAACCGAGCATTTAAGGGACAAATTTTAGGGTTGCATTAGTGACATTAAAAGGGACCAAATCCTAACCAATCTTTATTGCTTTATCATCAAGAAAATTAGCGAGAACTAACAAAATGTTAGCTACATAAATAATATTAACAGACATTATTGCTTAAGCAGCAATATTTATTTCCAAACTTAATATCAGCTGGTCAATGCTCTGTTTACCTAGTTGACGTTTATTATTGGATATAATAATAACTGTTCATTTTTCCCAATAACGTATAAAATTGATTTAGACAGTGAAGGTTTTCCTTTTCTGTTTATTTATTGAGTAAATGAAAGAAAAGTAATTGTTTCTCGTAGTTATTTTTGAGTAATAAATACCAACTAAATGTATATTGATCAGTTGAATGAAGACACGGGTAGATGGTGTGAATGAAGTTAATACTTATAACTAAGTTTAGGTCTGTTGACTCAGACTATCATTTAAAGCAGTTAGCTACGGAGCAGGTGGTTTAAACTTATTATTGATGCTCTGTCATTACTTTGTGTTTCACCTATTAAATTGTAAATATGTTTACTCAGACAAACCAGTCATTAATCAACCTGTGCATATGTATTGCCAGAAATAGTGTATAACACTTATTACAAAGTTTAAAAAAATTATCGACCATTGTTTTGTTTCCATAAACTAACACAAAAGAATAAAGAAATAAAATCAAAAACAAACTCTAGATTATCAAGTAATCAAGAGTGGATATCATAACACGAAAAAACTTAAATGGATTTTCTTTAAATAAACGAAACTTTATACAAAAATATTCTCTTGCTTTATTTCACTGTTTAAAGAATAGCTAAATTCAATTAGTCAAACGTCAAACGCTGGCGTAATCTTGAAATATACTTACTACGACAAACTTTTAGCTCAACTAATCACAAGTTAATTCGAATCCCACAAACTACATATTTTCATTTCTTTTTAGAATAAGCTAAGTCAAGCTTAATAATAAAAAATGATCATTCTGAATCAGGGATGGTGGTAAAACATGTACGGCCACTTAAAGTTTTAGCTGTGTGATAAGATATCTACTTAAACCGTGAACCAAAATGCATTTGTCAAAGATTCCAAATCAATTATTAAGCAAATCTAGGCACATTTAGTCATCGTAATTTTAATAAACGGAATACACCCATTATGACATTCGCTGAACTAATCTTTCTTTCTTAACATCGTAATTTTATCAATGTCTTTTGGGTTGTCAAAGGTATATATAGTGTTCTGTACAACAAAATATGAAATGAATATGGACACAAACCATAAGTGATCAAAGGAGAAAGTAATACAAAGCAAGCAACATCATTCAAAATATACTTTATTGCATCACATTTAGTGCACTACGCATTAGCAAACTATTCATTCTTTCATAAAAAATTAAAATAGTGAGTGATCTAAAACGTATTTATACTTTTGCAACAAGACATTTTGAATTTGGAATTCATACATTTGAAGGGTTCGTTATTATAAAGATCAGTGGTCAGAAGTTCTGTGGATTAGGTCAACTAACTGTTCGTTACAAGTTATTAGTTCTTACTAACCGAAGTAACACATAATTCAATAGTGTAATCTGTTTTATTGCAAATTCCGTCTTATAAATTCCCTTCGTTAGTATGATAATTCCCATATATCCACATAAATATTACTGAACATTAAACCGAATAAAGATCTATTTGAAAACGATATTGTTTGCTTATATATGCAGTTTTAATTCATAATATAGAAATTCATAATATATCACTGCATTTTCAATAAGCTACCTATTCAATTCCTTTTCTATAAGGTACGCCTATTGAACTGAAAATTTAAAATAATGTATTTAATTGGTAAAATGTGATACAAGGCATGAATTCATTTCTATTTCCCTTCGTATCTGTGTAAACTTCCAACAATTACACAAACAAGATTAAATAAATTATATTCAAATTCTTTTCAGACTGTGAACGTATTTGATCATTGGAATTTCAATGAAATAAATAAACCGATTTAAAGAATATTACTTTTACGAGCAATTTATTACATAACTTTGCTTAACAAACAGAGAGAACATAGTCTTTATAATATACGAGTAATTCCTTGTCTAAGATTTATCTTTTCTTCTCTTCCATCATTTATCTATATATTCTCCTTTTCGCTTCTCATATTTAACTCCTATGTTCCTAAGAATGGTCCTGCTTCACTCTAGTTTATTTTTATTATCATCAAAATTTTTCCTACCCGTACTTATTGATTATTACTCATACATCTCCATTTCAACTTGGCAATACTCTTATCGACCATAGATTTCTGATTTTTTATAAATTACCTTATCCAATAATTATTTGTTTATTCCAAAAAATTAGTCGATTTTGACATAACTAGTCATTTTCAGTAACACATACAACTACTCGACCTTTACTTTATCATACATATGCAAAATGTTGAAAATAAACTCGTCAAAAAAGGATTTATCCGCTGAATGAGTTATTTTCTAAAGTTATTTTTACAATTTTAGCAATATATCATATACTATCATAGAATTTAAACTTGCTCACTTTATTCAATGTATATTGGCTTATTTTAAATTACATCAAATATAAATATATAAGAAATGATAAAAAATGAGGAACTCACATTAGGTAAGACTTGCGAATGTTTATCAGGTGGTGCTGCTTTCGTTTCAAGTTCAATAGGCAAACCATTTATGGCCGGTTTCTTTTTTGGTCCTTCAGATGCTACAGAAACATCTGCTGATTCTCTGGTTGAACTTCTACCTGAATCGTGCTGATCATCTGGATATCTTTTCAAATGTTTTCCCTCAGATACAATATGTGGGTTTTCATCTGTTGGAGTTTTATTTGTCTCGTCTCTTGGATAGTTATAGGCATCTCTTGTTAATTTCTCTAAGTATAACTCTTGCTTACAAAACTGAGGTCTATAGGTTTCATCAGCCGTTGGTGTTAGGGATCCTTCTGATGGACTAACATCAGTTTCATTTTGTCTCTGTTGAATATTAGTCTGTGACTCATTTGATAATGTTTGTAACTCTACATCAGGTGACATTAAACCTGAAGAATAAGCGGTAGTTGAATCATCTTTTCGACGTTTTCTTGAGGGAGAAAATAATGAACCCAAAGATAATGTACGCAGAAATGTGAAAGGTTTGCTTTTTGATTTCGTCTCATTTCCAGAAGATAATGTGGAGCCAGCTGTTAATGTAGCGGATTTCTTTTCCATCGTCCATCTTGTTAACCTATTGGAAGATGAAGATGACGGCTTTTCTGAAATATCTTCTTCACTATCCGACCGATGAAACATACGTGGTAATGTGGAACAGCCTCTTTCATTTGAACTACCGGTCACCGGTGTCCTACTCTTACTTGATTTTCGCTTCACACAACGCAGCATTGTAAAGGAAAGTTTAAAAACCCGATGCACAGAGAAATTTGGAAATGATTAAGGAATGAATGTAGCGGAATTTGATATGACTTGGCTAAATTATTAGTACACTATCGTCATTATTGTTTGTTTCTTCACAATATATCATAACTAACATGAAGTAGCAAGCATACAAACTTGTTTCTGTAAATTTCACTAAAATGTTCTAGCAATAAAGCATTTAAATTGACTGAGTTGAAAATTTGAAAAGATAGTTTATCATGACGAAAACAAGAAGGCACTCTACATGAAAGTATGAAATTTCGATGACTAAGTAATAGGACAACAAGCAAAGTGAAAACAAAATAATAACAAAACTATGAAGTAATATTAATCGATATTGTCTTCACAATTTTTCGACTCAACTATATAAAATAATATTATGTATGAGGCACTAATAATGATTCTCACTTGAGTAAAACGTATTTGTGCAGTGGTGTTGAATGTTTGAACAGACTGCACCGGGTTCAGTAAAAGATAAAGGGGACGAGCTCTCAATTCCTCCAGATTAATATGCTTGGTCTGAATATACGAGAAACGATCACTTTGTAAAATGAATTTGAAGCTTCAGATTTGTAATTCAAGTATTCTTCGGAAATTGATTCTCATTTTCTGATCAATTCCCTAACTGACCAATTAAAATTAAGTAATTATCCATTTTTAGAACTGAAAATTTAGTTGGTTGAAATTTTCGGGCTATGCGCTAACTGTTATGGTCAATATCTGTCTGTCCACTTTGTTTCTCTGCGGATTACGTCGAACTAGGTGGCATATGGTTGATATATGTCTAGATTCAAATAAACAATCATGGTAGTCTTATTATCATTATTTTCATCACGAATCAATATGTGTCAAATTACTAGGATGCTGTTTAATTATTTTCTCAGACTTTAAACTATATGATCCCATAATATGTTTTAACATCAAGGTACAAACATTTTGCAGCAATAGGGATTGTTCTAAGGAAGGTGACTTGACATTATCAAGCTCAAGTATTTGATAACTGAGGAGGAAAGTAATGAACTATGTTGTTAATATCAGAAAGAAAGTACAATTTATGTTATAATCACAGTATTATTGACAAATTTCGTGTCTTCGAATGTTTTTTAGTGAATGTTTCCGTCATTTAGATTTACATTTGCACATAATCTGTAATAAAGTAAACTGAAAAGAACTACTGGAGAAGAAATGATAATTCTGGCTAATCAATTATATGAATGCAAAACATGTATTTGATATGAAGTTGAGACTATAATTTATGGACGACCTTTGAGCGACGCCAGAGTGACTTTGAAAGTGTCCACCTAACAATTACGACGAAATTAGGGGTATAAACCGGTGTGGGGAATTAGTATTATGATTTACAGTTGATGGTTAAGGTAAGAATTAGATTTGAGGTTTTCATCACGAACTGACATCAACTATAATGCCAAAACTTTATTTATCCAGATGGATGAGTGAATTTCTCGCCAAAATTCGAGACGTGTCATCCTATATTTTATTGGTTCGTCCATAAATTATAGTCTCGCTGATGTGAAAAACAGCCATGGTTCATGAACTCAGTGGTTAAGCTTGTGAACCAAACAATACGTCAGTCAATCAGTTTGAATAGCTCAGTAGGAACGTCTCAACTACGAAGTTGAGTCACGCTGGTTTGAATACCACATGGAACATCACTTCGCTCAAGATTACATGTACATCTAGATGACGGCTACCAACTAGCATGGCATGTAGGTCCAGGGTTTTCTGCTAACAAAACCCAACTTATAATGAAGATGATCCTTAGAATATTGTTGTGAGTAAGCCGCTTGTTAACATGAAAAACTGGACAAAACAGATTATGTCTCCAAGATGAAATCCATCTTGAGCGACCACATAAGGTTCAAGTTAGACAAAAGTAACAAAGACTTAACTGATTCCACTGAGAAAAGAATCACCAAAGTACTCAGAAATCTGAAAAATAATCTACAACCTCATGGGTCTCATTTACCCCACATGTATGGATTGGCAAAAATACATAAACAAGGTTATCCTCTTAGAACTATTTTTCAATAGTCAATTCACCATACCATAAAGTTGCACAATGGTTGGCAAATAAGTTAGAACCAGTGCGTCAACGACTAGCCGCTTATACACTAAAGGATTCGTTTGTATTTGCTGACAGCATGAATCACATAATTATTGCTGGTAAGTTTATGGTTTCTTTTGATGTGACATCGTTGTTTACAAAAATACCACTTCTTGAAACCATAGACATAATTTGTCAGCATTCTGATATCCTACCTCTACCAGCACCAGAATTCAAACGACTGTTACTCATTTGTACAAAAAATGTTCAGTTCCAGTTCAAACTATATCAAATACAGACAAAACGACGGTGTAGCAATGGGAAGTCCGTTAGGTCCTGTCCTAACAGATATCTTCATGGATAACCTCGAAAGAACCAAGCTCAAAGGAGTGATTGATGAAATGATGTATTATTCAAGGTATGTTGATGATACATTCATCGTATGTAATAATAAACAACATGCAACAAATCTGTTAAAGTTTTTCAACGAAGCCCATCCAAATATCCATTTCATTATGGAACATGAAAATGAAAACAAGTTCCATTTTTTCGATATCGCGATAAAACGAAGAAAGGATGGTACAGTTCAATGTTTAGTTTATAAAAAAGACACATGGATTGAAAATTATCTAAATTTCAATAGCTTTTGTCTAATCAGTTACAATAGGTCACTGGTCAAAACACTGTTTCACAGAACAGAAAGAATATGTACTCCCGATACGCTAGAAGAGGAAGTTATGAATGTTAAAAAATGTTTAAAGAATAACGGATACCCACTGAAATTTATTGAGAAATATGGCAAACGTGAAGATAAAAAACCCAACGAAATTACAGCAAATAAAAAGCTTATTTTTATTCAACTTAAATTCAAAGGTGATAATGTCACAGGATCAATCAATAAGAGACTAAAAACTACACCGACAAGAAATTGTCCTGCAGCGAAATTGATTGTCCTGTCCAAAACAACATGTTCTTTGACACAATCAAAGGTCGACAAGTATCCCTTTCATGTTACCACCAACTGTGTATACAAATTTACATGTATCTGCCAAAGCAGTTACATTGGTAGGACAGAAAGGAGAGCCTACGTCCAATTCAAAGAACATATTCCGAAAAGGTTAAGATTAAATGGATTGAACGCATTCAACAGTGCCATCACAAGACATCTCCTTGATACAGGGCATGAAGTTGATATACTGAAGTTCTTCAAGGTGATTAACAAACAATCAAACTCCAATCTTTTGAAATTTCCCGAAGCAATAGCAATCAAACGTTTAAAACCAGATCTATGTATACAAAAAGAGACAGTAATAAATCTTTCTTTACCCTGGTAACAATAACCCCCACTCTTTCTATTAATTTGCTCCTATTTATTTATTTATTACGTCATTATTGCAACTCTTTCTGAAGTTTAAATTACATCATACATAACTGACTGATTTCAATTCATATTTTCTTTATTACCATTAATCTATTTTCATGAGTTCTAATCACTATTTCAATGTTCTGGAACTTTCCCTCTCAAACTTTATTTGTTTATTCGAGACAAAATTTTACGACCTCATTAACTCTATCGGAATCTTCGCTACACCATGATACATTTATTCGTCCTTATTCACCCTCTTATTTGTAAGTATGTCAGTATCTGTAATAATGTTGAATTTTAAATATTTTAGGTTGTAAGCAGCTGATGAGAACCTGACGAAATAAAATGAATTCATATTATTCTAAACCGATCTTTGTTCTTACTCTCGTTAAGATAATAAAGGGAACTATGTGTATGAAAAAAACTGGAACACATGAATAGGTATGTCAGAACAAAAAAACTCTGTGTTTGTAAGATTTATTTAAAGAGCTTTTTTTATGACTATCTTGACGCTATTACATCATAACACAGGGACAGAATTATTGTTTCCCCACACATTTTTCCATAATTTATTGAAACAAGTAAATATCTCTGATATTTCCTTCCACGAGTACTTATAAGTTTTACTTGATGTACCCTGTGAAGTGTATCAAATTCATTTTGCTGATCAGAAGGGATTTCAACGAATAAACCGAACCATTCAATATTATTAAGGTCAGGTGCATTAGAGATGAGGCAGCTTATTTGTTAGCATCAGCAGCTGTCGTCAGAAACTAGGCTGTTAGTATCTTTATGTTTATTTATTTAAATAATTATAAAAGTCGACTTTATTGATGCATGCTTAGTGGATAATAGCAATAATATAAGCCTTTTGCAGTTTACTTAGGTCAATATATATATATATATATATTCACCAGGATAGAATTTAGCATTCTTCAGGATTTAATTTATCTTCATTGTCTTTTGATTGGTCATTCTGAGAGATGCTCCGAAATGCTTTTTAGAAGAGGCCTCGAATTAAAACAAATGCACCTAGATCCACGGGGTCCTCTGATATACACACTCATTTCGTCAGTTGTAATAACTAATTCATCATAAGGAACTATATAAAACGATGACTGGTATTAGATTTTACAACGACCGAGTACGAAACCTTAATGATGCGAAAAAGAAATAGGACCGAAATTATTGAAGGACGAGTTATGCATACCTTACAATAAATAAGACATGATGGTGTAATCTCAGATCCTAAAATACCCTGACTATATGAACAAAATAAAATGCATAGGTTGGGAATACCTCTTCATTTTAACTAGATATGATTGATTCACAATGATACTTATTTACACAGTGGATAACTCAATTGTTGAATTAAGTCTAAAATAGATGTTCTCTGCACGACAGATTTTCGTTATATGTAAGTAGTAAGTAAACTGTAAAAGTTATTTTCTCATAGTAGATCGCTTACGGAAGAGGTTTTTCAATGACTTATTCATAATAAGTAACAGTAAGCCCGGTTTACAAAAGATATTCGAG